TCTAAATTCCAAATTGATAACAACATCCTATATTGTGCATATTAACAACATAATTGATGTTGATTTACGATGACAAAATATTATAAGTTGAAAAAATAAATATCTTTAATCACCTTTGAAATTAATTTCGTGCTAATAATTTTGCTAGTACATTTCATCAGAATGCTTTGGTATTGGCAATGATTTATTAACTTTATTAGCATCTAAGAATTGCTTTTTAATCCGAATTAGCTATTTTCATAAGCCTTATTGCACCATAAATATCTCTAGCGCTGGGTCGTTTTTGCGAATCAGAATTCATACATTCTTCAGCCAATTCAATATAGCTTTTAGGAGTTTTAGCTTAAACTCTGGTCATGATCTTTTGCAAATTTCTACTGCATGTTTTAAATTAAATTCATGTTCATCAAAAGGTCTTTGACTAGTCAACATTTTTGCCATAATCATACCAAACCCATAAATATCTGCTGCCTGTGTAAACTGCTGCTCGTCTAATAAAACTTCAGGAGCAACATAAGGTATAACTCCATAAACTTCGCCAGTTGAAACTTTCTCATCTATTTTTTTAGACAATTCCAGATCTGCGATATAGAGTTGTATATTTTTATTAGTGCGTCGATCCTGCAAAATTTTACCACTATGAAAATCTGCATGGATGTACTTTGCATTTCATAAAGACAAAATATTATAAGTTGAAATAAATAAATACCTTTAATCGCCTTTGAAATTAATTTCGTACTAATAATTTTGCTAGTACATTTCGTCAGAATGCTTTGGTATTGGTAATGATTTATTAACTTTATCAGCATCTAAGAATTGCTTTTTAATCCGAATTAGCTATCTTCATAAGCCTTATTGCACCATAAATATCCCCAGCGCTGGGTCGTTTTTGCGAATCAAAATTCATGCATTCTTCAGCCAATTCAATATAGCTTTTAGCTATGAACTCTGGTCACGATCTTTTGCAAATTTCTATTGCATGTTTTAAATTAAATTCACGTCTATCAAAAGGTCTTTGACCAGTTGACATTTCTGCCATAATTATACCAAACCCATAAATATTTGCTGCTTGTGTAAACGCTTATTGCCTAATAAAACTTCAGAAGCAACATAGGGCATAACTCCATAAATTTCGCTAGTTGAAACATTCTCATCTACTTTTTTAGACAATCCCAGATCTGCGATATAGGATTGTGTATTTTTATTAGTGTGTTGATTTTGCAAAATGTTGCCACTATGAAAAAATCTGCATGGATGTATCCTGCACTAGTATGAATCAAATATAACTCCCACGCAGTATATTTAAGTATTTGTAATTTAGTCTGCTATGTAAGACTAATAAAATTTTTCTTAAATATTTATGAAGACTTCCATTATTGGCATACTGAAAGGCCATCAAGTAATTTTTTGTTTCTGTGTTTTGGGTTAGACTTTTAAACTTAAAGTTTAAACAATGAATTAGCTCAATAAACTATTAGATAAATTATTAAAGCAATAAATTAACTTACTTCTTTTAAAAAATCAGTGTTTTCCTCAGAACTGGCCAACGTCTTGAATGCAACGGTTCACATACTCTTTTGTAGATGTAACTATAACCGTCATCAACTTTTTGTACCAGGTTGCTGAATATATGGAACCAAATCCTCCACCAATTTTTTAATGCCAGATAATTTATTAAATGGAATCCACTCAATTGTATCTTCTATTTCCAGGCTCTAAGCTGGAATGCTTTCATGCAATCATTAACATCTTTATTCCCGATTGTCCACTGCTCTGACTTTCATCAATTTGAATTAAAATACTATACATTAGTTAAGTGGATGAATACAGTTGATTATAATTATCAACATGGTATTAGAGTTGGGAAAGACGAAAAGAAGGTTAAATTGTCACTTGTATACCTTCTATAATTGTACTATAATAGTCATGTTAATCTTACCTTAGTATAGTATTAAAGCGGCTAAAGTTTTCCTTCTTGCTCTACTAATATGAAGTTTACTTAGTCTGGCAGTGTCGCAAAACTTTACTGAAATTAGCCAATAATACTTAAATTTTTTTCAATTTTAAAAGCTTATTACCTCATTCGTTGCCTAAATTTGCCTAAATTTGCTCTCTAAGTAAAGTCTTTAGTGATAATGATCTATACTGATCTTTTTTCACTAGAGACGTACGAAGAGGTAAAAAATACTTTATGACGGGTTAAAAAAAAATTATTATGTAAAACCACGGGTTGCTAACTGACGATGTGGTTTTTCATAGTAAGGGTTACTTTAAAAATTTTTATTTATGTTGTGTAACCCAGGGATCTACAAGCCAATCAAATCGAATGTCCGCCATGCTCGAGTAATGTACATCGAAATTATACAATAAAATAAATTCACGCAAAAGTAAACTGATTATGTATGCGCGGCCACTAGGGCCAGCTTTATTATATAAAAACAAAAATAAAACAATTTACAGGAATAAAATTATTTTTTCCCCAATTCTCCGCTTTTTTTCTTATTTAATCTCTCTGATTCATGCGAAGAACTTCTTTCACTTACCTTTCTTGTCTTTTTTTGAGTGCTGTTGATTAAACACTGCAAATTTGCGATTAAACCATTCTGCAAATTAATTTTTTCTAATTAGTAAATTACTAATTTTTAATAGGTTTTAAGACAAATGTATACTTACTCGTATAGTCATTAAAGCATGAACAAATTCTTCTACCTCTTCAATGGATTCAAGTCCTAATGGGATTTTTGCTTTGGAAATTGGGAGATAATATTTTACCCCATTTTCTCGGATTAATCCGTGAACTATTATATTTTCTCCTAATGATATATTCATGAATTACTAACCAATTTGAGTAAATAGATATAATTCGTGACTTTACCTGCAATATTAATTCCGAAAGCAATATAATTTTTTCGTAAAACATCTTTTACATGCTTTTTCGAAACCTCTTTATAACCATCTATACAAAATCTCACTAATTTTTTGTGATCTTCGAGTATTTTATCTTTATTACAGTTCCATTTACCACTTTCTGCATATACAATTTCATTCCATTTTTGGCCTAGGAGCGTTCGGATCATAAAATCTGGCCTGTTACCCCTTGCACCTTCCTTTACTCTGGCTTTACGATTTTTACTTGCCACGCTTTGACGTTCATTTCTTGTTACCTCAACTTCTCTATTAATTGGTAATTGATATGTGGCCACTTCGATTAGTCGAGCCACTACTTCCACAAGCGAATTCTCAGAGCCTCTAGAAACTCGACGGAAGGAATTTGATTTTATCAACTGCATGAGACATTCAGTAATGTCTCTAACAATCCGTTCTCTCTCACTTTCTTGTTCAACCCAGCGATAATGAACTACATTCACATCTTCTGCTATTACCAATTTGTATATTTCTTGAAATTCATCTCTTCGTCTGACAAATTCAGCACAAATATTTTTTATTGAAGCACTTTTACTTAATCTTCTTATCCCCGCTTTTTCTCCCACAAGTAAATCAAAGTCATTCTCAGATATTTCAAATCGATCAGAGCCGAGGTCAATCACACCATTCGACAAAGGATCATCACATTTTAAGTCATTAATATCTATTCCACACAATTTCTCTAAAAGACGTTGATGCACTGGTGTTTCTCCATTCTTATAACAGAGAAAAATAATAATCGGTTCGTATTAGCTTATTTTTATTTTAACTTTAGCAACAAAATCATTTATAATAAATACCTCCAATTTATCTTTTATATTGCCTATAGTACATTCGGCCTCTACTTTCCAATCCGTTTGCTCCTCAAATTTATTACAAAATAAATCGGCATCCTTTAGTGTTTTGAGTTCATTCCATGAAAAACGTATCTGTTAAAAAATGCAAAAGCTTAGATTATTAAGATCCAATAACATTCAATCACATCAATGCAAAATATTAATCAGCATTCGCTAGCGGTTTATTGGGCACCCATTAAAATCCAATGTCATGTTAATGCAATAAAGTAGCTTCTCGCGGGTAATTTATCATTACTACTTACACAACTCTAGAACATTAACTAAAGACTTCGAATTTCCATCATTTTATAATTTATATCAAAAATACCATTTTGTTCGAAATACCTTGTCAATGTTTTTCAACTCTTGAAGATGTGATTTACGATCACCGCTAATGTCTTTATCCAACATATCTTCTAACATATTTATAATACGTTCACAATCTAGCTTTACCGTTTCCATTCCGAAAACTCTCCACAGCTCATGAATTATTCTGGAAATAGATAATTGTTCTAACGGTTCATTTTTTAAAAAGTTTCGAAGGATTTCGTTTGATGGAATAGATGTAGACATGTTTTAGTAAAGTATGACGAAAGAAATCACTTTAAAGCGACAAATAACAATAAATTATAAATACTGCCCTTTTATATATTTTTCTTATCTCTTCCCAAAACTCGAAATGTTAGGCGGAAGTAAAAACATGCGCTCTT